ACCTGAAGGTTGGGAGTTCAAATCCGCAGGATGGGGTGAGCTCCCACTGCTAGCTCCTGCCAACTTAGCAGTTTGAAAACATGCAAATGTGAGTAGATCGATTGGTACTGCTTTGACTCCAAGCAGTCATGACAGCCACATGACCAGGAGATGCCTACAGATGCAAGCTCCTCGGCTTGGAAATGGAGAAAGAGCACCTCTTTCAGAGCCAGAAATGAAAGGAGAAGCCTTTGCCTTTGTTCTGTGTATTTGTGTTTCATTGTATATCATGTTACAAGGCACTGAATGTTTGCCTGTATCTGTTTATATACTGTAATTCACTCTGAGTCTCCTCAGGGAGAAGAGCAGAATATAAATATATTATTATTATTATTATATTATTATTATTATTATTATTATTATTATTACACTAAAGCAGATACAGTCAGTGGGTCTATCTTCCAGGAGAGCACAGATCTACTCTAGAGCCATCTAGTCAGCTGACCCAAAAATACATAACCAAACCAAGGCTGTCTTCAAATGATTACAAAAGGCAGTTTACTGCCTGCTTTGTGGACTTTCCAGAAATCTCGGAAGCCCTATCTACACTGTCATTATAATGCAGATTCAACTGCTTTATATGGTGATTGTAGGCCCCTTTCACACAGCTGTATAAAATCCACATTTAACTGGATTATGTGGCAGTGTGGACTCAGATAACCCAGTTCAAAGCAGATATTGCCCCTCTAGACTCCAGACTCTGCTTTTCCTGGCAAACAAGAGATCTGTCTCTCCTGGAAGTGTCCAAAAGCATCAATTTACATTTTAAACAGGTCACATGGACCCTCTGTGCCATTCAATATTTCTTAATATTGTTTTTTCAATACTGGAATTGGACTTCTGACTTTTCCCATTCTGCCTGTCCTCTTCAATCACCAATGTTTGACACTGGTGTCAGCCGATATAGCATTCAGATGAGCCCAAGAAAGAAAACTGGCTTCCAGATCCACCAAAGATTTTATATCTAACAGCTCCACAGAAACTCTAGAACACTAGGAAATCAGGATCAGCAAAACATTTCTGTCCATCAAGCTGTTTCAGAGGCTTCTTTTAAAAATCACATAATAAGAAAATGCACAGTGAAGACTCTGATGAAGCACCTAAGTATAGTAACTTGGCAAAGCCTCAAGGCTGTAATCTGTGCTTGGTAGCATTAATGGAATTGATGCTGTCAGCTTCCGGGACTGGCTTCCATTCTTGCTCTGTGGGTGATCATAACTCATGGCGCAGTCCTAGAGAAAATCTTCATTCTATGCTCCATTATCCAAGACAGCCAAGACAGGAGAATGTGAAGAATAGGCTAGCCAGCAAAGAAATGTGTTAAACATCCATATGAATGAAAGGAATGGTCACTTCCTGCAATAAGGATGGATTTAACACATTACAAAAGGAAACTGCAGAGCAGGGTCACAGGAACTGCCTGGCTGACTTGATCAATTGGCTTCTTAAGCACAGAATGGATCCTTCATACTGTTTCAAAGCCCCTCCCTATAGCAAGTTCAGGACCAAGTCTTGCAATAGATACAAAATGCTGTTGGAGCATGTAAAAATCAGTTGGTGAGCGTGTAAAAATTAGTTGGTGAAGCTGATTGATTGGGCTAAACCCAAGAAGCTAGCTAAGCCTGGGAGTTTTGGCAGCAGTTACATGTTTAGGTTTTCTGTGCAGGAGGTTCTGGGCTGCTGGAGGAAGATCCTTCACATAGACACCTGAGGACCATTTCAATCTCTCTCAAAGGACACTGCGTGGGTCAATGCAACTGTTCACACAACTTTATATATGTTGCCCTGCACAACAAAGAGTAAACACCTTAATCTTTACTGATCATCTGCGTGGCATATTTTTTCTCTAAGAAGACAGTGTCTGGATTGGTAAAGACGTGAACTACGTGTGATTTTCGTTTCACCACAAATATTGTACACAGGTTTGCAATGAAAAAAGGAAATGTTAAGTTTATGGGGCCCCAAAACAGCAGCATATTTTACTTTTGCCTTGACTGTACTTTCAGAGTGCTATTTGCAAGTCATGATAAGAAAACCTTTCTCTACTTCTAACGGGTCTTTTTTTAATGCGAGCCTCTAATATATGCAGTACATAATATGGAAAACAGCAATCATAAACTCAAATTATAGCCCCATTCCTATTTGAATGATTTAGCGAGAATACATTTCCAATCTTCTGCACAGCTGCAGTCTTAAAAGATGTACCTTTTTGTCACAATGAAACATACCAATGATGGCATATATTTATCGCTCCTAGAGACGTCCGTGTTGCACTAAAAATGCATTGAGGAGAGTTTGCAGTGTGGCATAATTAAAACTTTGGGGAAAAATATTAAGTAGTTTAATAGATTGAAGTGAAGTAACTGTAAAGAACATGTTTATTTTGATAGAAGGAAGGTAATCACTTTGGATAGCTATTGGCTGATGACTAGCCAAAAAATAGCGGTGTTCATATGATCTTTGTTATGTTTTAGAACAGGATGAGGATATTACCTTCAGTCTGTACATCTAATTTATTTATTTATTTATTTAAGAAATTTATATCCCACCTTTGCCCACTCAAGGGTCCAAGATGACCTACAGCCAATAAAACATACAATATAAAAGTTAAAACCAAGTTAAACCCATAAATATTAGACATGCTGTAATCTCTAATTAAAGTTCAATCAAATAAATGATACTAACCCAGTTGTAAAAACAAACTCACAGACAATCCTAGCCATTTAGTATCACTGAATTATGATCCCCAAAGGCTTTCTTAAACAGAAATATTTTAAACACCTTCTAAATGTTAGTAGAGAGGATACAAATCTAATATCATCTGGCAGGGCATTCCAGAGGGAGGGAGCCATGACTCTCTCTAGGAGTCTTCAAATGTAGAATGTCTCCGATGTTAGAGGATACTAACAATTCACCATTAGACCTAACAGATCTCCCCAGGGTATACCAAGGAACCCGGTCTCTCAAGTAATCTGGACCAATGCCATGTAGGGCTTTAAAGGTCTACACCCGAGCTTTGAATCAGGCCCAGAAACAAATAGGGAGCCATTGCAGCTGTTTAAGGGTGGAGTGGTGTGTTCTCTTATGTTTACCCCAAAAACAGCCTAGTTGCCAATCATTGAACAAATTGGTGTTTCCGAACTGTTTTCAAAGGCAGCCCCACATAGAGCGCATTACAGTAGTCCAGGCAGGATGTAACCAGGGTGTGTACCACTATGGCCAGGTTAGATTTTTCCAGGAATGAACAGTTGCCATTGGAGCAAGAGTGACCCTGGTAGCCTCTGCCACTTGCGCTTCCAGGTTTAAGGAAGAATCCAGAATCACCCCTGTCCAGCTCCGGTTGTAACCCTATTCTGGGATCCATCTTATGTGAGTAATTTCGTCTTATCTTGATTCAGTTTCAATTTGATTACACTCATCCAGCCCATTACTGCCTCCAGGCACCAGTTCAGGTGCAACACAGCTTCATTGCCGATTTCTGATGGAAAGGAGTAGTAGAGTTGGGCAATAGCGAATTCCAAAACTTCAGATGATCTCGCCCAGGGGGTTCATGTAGATGTTAAATAACACTGGGGAAAGTGATGAGCCCTGTGAGATCCCACAGTCTAATTGCCATGGGGTCGAGCAGGATTCCCCCAATACCACCTTCTGGCTGCAATCCATGCAAAAGGACTGGAACCACTGCAAAACAGTGCCTCTCAGCCCCATACCCATTAGTCACTCCAGAAGAAAGCCATGGTCAATTCTATTGAAAGCCACTGAGAGGTCCAGGAGAACCAAACAGGTCACACTCCCCTTTTCTAGGTCTCCACGTAAATCATCCACCAAGGCAACCAAAGCCATTTCTGTTCCATGACCTGGTCTTAAGCCAGACTGAAATGGGTCAAGAAAATCTGCTTCATCTGAGAACCATTGAAGTTGACTGGCCACCACCTGTTCCAGAATTTTGCTAATAAATGGCAAATTTGACGCTGGTCTACAGTTTTTTAGCATGGTCTAGCCCACGGAGTCACTCTCACCAAGCTTGTAGATTACAATGGGACTATAGAAATCCTATTATTACTTCCTATTAGGATGAGAGAAAGGCATGTGAACTAAGGGTCTCTGTCAGCATTTTCTGTGCACAGCCTGAGAGCACTTCATTCTTCCTCCTTTCTTTCCTATTTCAAGGAGAGAAGGAGTGCTAAGTATTCAACTTAAGGCTTGAGGCCATTCCAAAAGAAAGTTTCCACTTCACCACAACCTCATTTTATTAACAGCAGGGCAGAAACCCTAACATCATCTGGTCCGTATAGGACTATGGGAGGCCATGACTGCAGATGTCCATAGTGCAATACTGCAGGTAACAACTCAAAGGACAAACAGTTACAGTTCTCGGAAATTTTCTGATTCCAGAATATTTCCTCAGCCCAAGTAACTTGATGCTTTGGTACAGACTGATCTGCTTATAACTTCCCTGTGAGCTGATACGCATAGCGGCCTGAGCAGACCCTGCTTGCCTACAGGTCACCAGCCTCTTCTGCCCAATGTTTGAGGACACCATGAAAGGAAAGCAAGCTAAAGGCACTAACTGGTGCACCACTATGCCTGAATAAAACATGTCACATCTCAATCCATACACTCCAAAGCAAATAATCACATTCCTATATATGTTGCTGTCCAATCATTTCTCAATACACCAACACAAAGATGACACGCACAGCTTTGATCAAAACACATCTTCAAAAGAACCAGTGTGAGGATTCAGGCACATTTTCCATAACTGAGAAATTACTTTTCTGCTTGCTTGGGAAAGGTCTTCAGTCCCTGTGTCTTTTGTCTTTTACCAAGTTTTGTGCTCATTAAAGCTTCTTCTTGCATGGCAGACTATTCCAAGTCTGACACATCACTGCAGCTTTCGTTACAGCAGTACAACAAAGCAGAAGTGGAGGAGGGATACCTTAAAGCTTTCCATTTCTTACCTGGCTCCGTGCAGTTCTTTTCTCTCACTGACTCATTATTTGATGCCATCAATCTTCTGTTCCTCCATAAATCTGACAGGACATTTTTGTCGACAATAGGTGATTCTTGTCCTGCATAAAGACAGACCCAGTATTTGTTAAAAAAATGGCAACCCCACATAAACCTCAGCTGCTTCTATATATATACATATATATTGTTTTTCCCACACTTGATATTATTTCTGTACGACTTAAGTGACTCAGCAACTTTTCTTGGTACATATTATATTATTTATGGCTGCATGTATGTTGAGGAAGATAGCATGGTGCTTGCGTGTTGGACTAGGACCCTGGGAAAACAGGTTTTGTATCCCTAATCAACCATATAAACCCATTGGATGACCTTGGGCAAATCAAACTCTCTCAAAGTTAGAGGAAGGCAATGATTCTAAGCAAATCTTTCCAGGAAAACCCCAGTGGTTCTCAACCTGTGAGTACCCAGATGTTTTGGCCTTTAACTCCCAGAAACCCTAACAGCTAGTGAATTGGCTGAGATTTCTGGGAATTGTAGGCGAAAACACCTGGAGACCACAGGTTGAGAACCACAGCCTTAGGGGAATGGTTCCCAACCTTTTTTTTTTTTTGGACCAGGGACCACTTGACCAGGGACCATTCTGACAAGGGACCACTTGACCAGGGACCACTCTCCAACATTGTTACCGAAAGGGTTACAAATCAGTTTTTGGTCAACTTTAGATTCAGTTTGGTTATTTGGGGTGCCGATTCAGAAAATTGCATTGGATAGACCACATCAACTCTAGTTTCTGATACAGAATATATGCTGTCCAGTAGTTGCCATCTGCTCGCCCACAGAAAACCATATTTAGAGCTGATGTGGTAGTAGTAATCTTTTGTGAGTAGTCAGCCTCTTCCCTCTCCGTTGCCTCGGCACCATAAGAGGGTTTTGCGAGACCAATTGCTCTCGTCGCCATGTGGTTTTCAGGCAATGATGTAGTAATGGTGACGCCACTGACCATATTTTCATTCTTGTGGACCACTGGTGGTCCATGGACCACAGATTGGGAACCACTGCTTTAGGATCACCAAAGATCAAAAATACTTTAATGCACACAACAAAAACAACATACATGTTGATGGATAATAGATAAAGGGAGCATCAGTATAGCAGAGTGGTTAGAAAAGTGGCTCAAAAAGAAAAGAAACGAGGAAGCAAAACCTCGGTCATTTATGAGGTTTACTGTGCAACCTTGCATTACTCGCTCTTTGCTTTCCCAACTTTGCAGAGTTGATCTGAAGATAGACAAGGAAAACTTGCATTGAAATCAGTGACGATATTGTAGGAAGTCCAAGCAACAACAAAAACGCCTGAAAACCCCAGTATTCAATACTGTCTTGTCAAGAGATACCTACTAGTAATAAGACTTGCAAATAATAAGGGAACCTTAATGTGAGTAGTGTGCTTGCTTGCTATCACTCACTTTCTCTTTTTGTTTCTTTTGAGGTACAAATGACTAATACATATATGTGTCAGGAAACAGGATAGCAAAACAAAATACAGGCATATATTGTTAATAAAATGTGTTATGTTCCAGACCACTGCTGCAAATTGAATATCTCCTTAAAATGAATCACAAGATAGTGGATATAAGTGTCTAAAACATATTTACAGTATCAACTTATTAAGTGTAAAATATCATAAAATGCCAAAGCAAAAATAATGCAATAATGTTGTAAGCAACCAAAACAGGGACAATAAAGTAATGTTGTACTGTATAATTGAAAAGTGCCATATTAGCTAAATGCTCTAAAACACTCTTTCTCCACCTACCTAATGCAACAACCCCTTAATACAATTCCTCACGTTGTGGTGACCCCCAACCATAACATTATTTTTGTTGCTACTTCATAACTCTCACTTTGCTACTGTCATGAATCATAATGTAAATATCTGATATGCAGGATGTATTTTCATTCACTGAATGAAATTTGGCACAAATACGCAATGCACCCAAATTGATTGTGTCATTTCGGAGTTGTAGTTGCAGGGATTTATATTAATCTATAATCAAAGAACATTCTGAACTCTGGGATTTATAGTTATAGTTAGTTTGGTGGGCATTGACCTTGAATTTTGGAGTTGTAGTTTACCAACTCCAGAGTGCACTGTGGACTCAAACAATGATGGATCTGGACAAACTTGGCACAAATACTCAATATGCCCAAATGTGAACACTGGTGGAATTTGGGGAAAATAGACCTTGATATTTGGGAGTTGTAGTGGCTGGGATTTATAGTTCACCCACAATCAAAGAGCATTCTAAACCTCACCAATGATAGAATTGAGCTAAACTTCCACTCAGAACACCTATGACCAACAGAAAATACCATGTTTTCTGTTGGTCTTTGGTGACCCCTCTGAAACCCCCCTTGCAACCCCCCAGTCCCAATTCCCAAGCTGTGAAACGCTGCTCTAAAGCAAAGTGTCTTAAAGCAAGGGACACAGATATATACATACTGTGCATAAGTAACTTGTGTGGACCTCACCAGAAGTCTGTGTTAGACACTGCAGACATTTTCAAAGAGCTCTTTGAAATGTTTGAAGAATATTTGCAATGCTGGTTAACAGGGAATACAGTACATGCTACCAAGACACTTCTTAAAAAAATCCAGCAATGCGGGGGAAGATCTCTAACAACCTCTCTCTTTATTCTTGCATTTCTTTCTTTTCCTTTGTGACTCAGTTCTCAAGCCATGTACATGTACACATTCCACTAAGCATCTGTATAATCATCTGCAAGAACTCATGACCAATCTGGAGTTGCTGATATTGTTTTATTTATACATTATTTTCAAGAATCCATGATGAAGGGTGAGGTATCGCTACTATAAAAATTAATAAGCATTGTTTTGCTGCAAGTGTTACCCTTACACTGCCTCTGTCATAAAGTAATGGACAGTGGTTTAGGTGGATCACTGAAGCTTCAAACAGAAGGGCTGAATTAACAATAACTATTTATGGCTGCCATTGGTTGCACTGCTATTACCCAGAACTGAACAATTAGAACAGAAGAAACATAGAAAATGGGGAGGCATCAGTCTTGAGATGATAACAGGCTAATGAAAGTAGGAGGTTCAAAGGCAGGGAAGATACAAGCAGTTGATCCAAGGTAAGCATAACATACAAGGGAGCCAGTATAGTATAAGGATTTCAGCTCTGGACTATGGACCTCATCCCATGAACAGAGGGAAAGCAGAGGGAACTATCTTACTTCATCCCCCACCATCGAGGTCCATCTTCTGGGATGCCCAGCCATACCACATCCTTTCTCCATCTCTCCCTATCATTTGTTGTTTGGAGTTGGGTGGCACTCGGTTCCCGAAAATGAACTATGGGTTCGCGGATTGCTTTCGGTGGACTCGCTGTTTCGCATGGAAGGAGTAGGGGGGAAAGGAGGAGAAGGAGGGCTTGCTTTCTTTCCTTCCCCAAGAGAGCGGGGAAGGAAGAGAAGGAGGAGGAGGAGGAGGAGGAGGAGGAGGAGGAGGAGGAGGAGGAGGAGGAAGAGGAGAACTTGCTTCCTTTCCTTCCTTCCCCTAGTGAGCGGGGAAGGAGGAGAGGAGGGAGAAAGAGGAGCATCCCTACTTCGCTGAATTTTACTTATTGTGGGTGGTATTGGAACGTAACACCCGCGATAAGTGAGGGAACACTGTACATGGAAACTGAGCCCAGAGTGCATGGGATGAGGTCCTCAGATTCTAGGTGATGAGGATTCAAACCTTACACAGCCATGATATTAATTAGGTAAACTTGAGCAAGTTCCACTCACTTGAGAAGAATGCAGCAATAAATCTCTGAGTACATCTTGCAAGGAAAACCCTACAATTGGGTCATCACCAGTAAAATACAACATGAAGGCCCATTAGAAGACTAACAAAATGATAATAAAGAAGAATCTGAAAAGTGGGCTGCCGGAGAGAATACACTGGGAGGAGGGTGGCCAGGAACTGCCGGGTTTAAGGCTATAATTCACATTCATATGTAAGACAACCAGCCAGACCTGGGCTACCAAGTTTGCAATACAATTACTGAAATTTCTGTGTGTTTGTGTGTATTTCAAATTGTAGAACTGCTTGTTAAACTTAGACTGCATCTAAATTGCCATATAATGCAGTTTGGAATTGCATTATATTGTCAGTGTAGACCCATATAATGCAGTTTAACTGCATTGAATGGCATTATATGGTCTACACTGACAATGTAGATCCAGCCCTATTGACTTCTATTTCATCAATGAAGATGAATCCTGAAGATGGCTCACACAGAATATGGAAAGTTAATTTGGGGACTTCTAGTACACCACCACCACCATGGATTCTAGAATCATAGAATCAGACTTGGAAGAGACCTCGTGGGCCATCCAATCCAACTCCCTACCAAGAAACAGGAAAACTGCATTCAAAGCACCCCCAACAGATAGCCACCCAGCCTCTGTTTAAAAGCCTCCAAAGAAAGAGCCTCCACAACACTCCGGTGCAGAGAGTTCTACTGCAAGGATACGCATTAAAAAGTTGCAAGGAGTTGCATTAAGAAGTGTTTTTTTAAAAAAAAAATCTCAGGCTTTACATACAACAATAAATTACATGCCACAGATATGAACATGGAACTGACCAATGGGTTTGAGCTGTATATTGTAAAACCAAATCAAAATGATCTGATCTAAAGGACAACAGGTGAAAATAATAACTAAATTACACCTAGTGTAATATAATATGTTTATATTAGTATCTAAATGGCAGTGAATTCAAATATATGGATTCTGGTTTTGTAAGGACAACTATTTCCACAGGCAGAAATTGCCATTGGAATACAAAATTCAGCAAAGACTTTGCAAGATCAGTTAAGTGGAAGACTTGATTTCTGCCCACATACTCCTGCTTGTTGATCTCTGTCCTAGCAGTAAACAGTAAGTTTATTTTAGCATATGTTTTGTAGATTCCAATCCACATTCCCCAGGTGTATTTCAATACAGAGAGCCAATGTGGCATATCAGTTTGTGTGTTGGAGTAGGACTCTGGAGACTAGAATTCAAATTCCTGCTTGGTCATGGAAACCC